CAAAAGCGCATGCGTAACAATTGCTGACCAAGCAATCGGTTATTGAGTTACCACTTTATACGTTAGCATTTTTTTCCTGATGATGTGCAAACAAAAGCGAGTTTCAATTTCAAGTCTGGCGAACAAAAAGAAACAAAGAAAAAAATGCGTACATTATGCCTCGAAGTCGGCGCACAAATGTGGGCTTTGTTTACTGGGCGGCCTATGCTTTATGTGCCTGCCTGCCTTGCCTTGCCTGCGTGCCCACTCGCTTTCGTTGTTTGCTTCATTGCTCTGAGTTTCAATTTTCTTCTTTCTTTTTACTTTGCGGTTTCAATGTGTACCAGTCGAAACAGTAAGCCCTAACGAACCTGCGTGTCTTCCCCTGCAAAGGTTGCTACTCCAACTAGTTGCTGTACATTGACTTTTGCCGCCTTTCAGCACTTACCCCCATACTCATATGCATTCAGTACATCCTCAGCGCCATATTGTTTGGCTGTCGCTTTTGCTCTGCTCCGGGTAATCAATCATTATTCTGCTTTGTTCGCAAGCTTTTTCAATGATCGCTTTTTGCACATTGCGGTCACTGCTACTGTTGTTCTTCTACTTTTTCTTCGTCCAGCGTACGTTCTACATTTCTACAAGCGTGTCTTGCGAGATTTGTGGCTTTCAACACCTCACCTCTCATCTTCATTTCGCTAATTTAGTAAGCTCACTCCCCACATTCAACGGACCGATGTCCGTTCATCATTCAGCCGACTTTGTTGCTGCCGGTTCATTGATTCTTCGGAGAATAGAACAGAAAGAGCGGTTGAGGCAGCAAGGCTTCGTGATTGTGATGCTTGCTTGATTGTTTTCTGCGTTCATTGTTGTTGTAGCATGCTTTTTATTGTTTCGTTACGTTCTGTTTGAGTAATTTAAATTGACAATGCGTCGCGTGAAATTACTTTTGACAAATAAGTGCGATTTTTGAGATTCATGAGATTCGATGCGGATGCTGTGCGAATTTTTTTCTGGTTTTCATTCAACAATTGTTCGTGTTCTGGCGCATGAGGAGCAAATGAAAGATGAGGTTGTTGAACATGGGTGAGGCGAGTTATGGCAAATTAATTTGTTGTCACATCTGGTTAAGAATAATTACGTAAGTGAGAAATACACGTATGTATGTAATGGAGACGAGTAGTGGAATTCAGTAGCATTTATAGATATGATTTGTTGAATCGCAAACTTGTGATTTTTTACGAAAATTCAGGAAAGAATACATCACAGCATTGCAAAAAAAAAAATATGCGAGCAGCGTTTGAGCTTTCATATCACTGTCATCTCCGTCCCAAATTTGAAGAAAGGAAATCACTGGGAGCCAGGTCCGGACTGCACGGTGAATGGCCAATTTCTGTAAATTCAGTAGCTTTTAAGGCATCCCTCGAAAGTTCGGAGGCGGTTGCGTTGTCTTGAAGAAACTGCAATCCGCGCGCTATCGTATCTTCTGTATGGCTGCCTCATGCGCCTGACTCAACAAATTGGCATAGTACTGGTCGTTCGTTGTAGACCCCTTTGGCAAGTAATCATTTATTAATATTCTCTCGCTATGCCAGAAAATGGTAGCCATAATCTTTTACGTCGACTTTTCCTCCTTACATCCATTTAAGGTTCGGTGCTTGATGGACTCAAAATGTACTATGTTGAGTTTGTGAGAGCGTAAAAAATTATTCCTGTAAGTCCAGAACCGATTTAAAAAGTCCTTATATTCTATCCTGCCATTCTCAGGCCAAATCGGCTTTGTTGTCTTACTAGCGAATTGTTGAAATTACATGTAGAGCTTTTCCTTGATAGCTTTTTAAGGGGATTGCAGTAACTGCCCTTAAAATTTGTGAAGAGATCATCTAGAATTGGCCAACGTGTCAGCTTTTTTGTTAACCAAAAAATTTCTATGGCCATGAAGCCGGGTTATGGGGATATCGAATTGAGTTTCCGGCGAAGGCTCTGAAAAATTATTTACGCTGCTGGAATCAGCCATTAGTGACGCTAAGACCACCAATGCTACCTGTCTGTTTCTCTATCAAATGTCTTTCTCTATCCTCCTATCTTAATACAAAATCTACATGTCTTTTCAAATACAGGCGCTTTCGCTTAGAAAATTTTAGTTGATTTTGGAAGACTTATCGAAATATTAAAGAACTCCAATCTAAGGCAGATAATGTACGATATATTTAAATCTGCAACTTTTCACATAAATATGCCCAAGGCAATTGCCGCAGGATCATGTTAAAAGCTTCACTTACACATGATTTAATAGACCAGGTAATCTCAGCACCGACTAATATTGGCAGCCAAACCAGTACCTGTAATAAGAATGGGCTATCATAATAACCGCTTCCATCCACATAACAATTAATCCGTTTAAGGCCCCAGTACTAATTTTTTGACTTTTAGTGGGGTCATCTTCACAGGTATTCTCCTTGTTGAAATATCCGAGGCCATAATAATTGTACGTAACACCACAGTATATGAAGAGGAAGAGTCCCAAAGAACCGATGAAATCTCTTTAGGAATTTCTTTCGGCGCACTTCCTTTGTTATGTACAAGGAATTTAATTTCCAGTTTAAGTTGACATAGTGTTGTTGCTTGTTCCAGGAACGGAATGTTAATGAGATAAGCCTTCCTTTTAAATTTTCGAACGGTCGGCTAAATGGAGACGAGGAAACGCAAGATAGCTGAGGATACGTCAGACGAAATTCCACCACCAACGCAAACAGACATTCACCACGTGATTCTCTTGGAGTTTCGGCGTAATTGACGGTCAACGCAAATATTCAGTGTAGGCCAAATTGCATATGGAACGATTGCACCGTCTTTAAGTCAGACGGTAACTCCAAAATGGTACACCGAAGAGGGCTTACCAAAAATTTCCAAAAATTTGTTAGAAAACAAGAAGAAAGAGGAGGTCTACATTTTTCATCATGTCAACGCGCCATCCCACACTGCTGAAATAAAGAGTAATTTTATTGCGATCTCTGGGGTCGAAGAAATACGTCTAGCACCATATTCCCCGGATATAGTACCTTACGATTTCTGGTTATTTTTAAAAATTAATAGCAACGAGATTAATGCGGTTAGTGCTGAACTTGATAAACTTAAAAAGCAAGATTTTAAAGACTGTAGAGAAGTGAATCTAATGGATTAAGGAATGCATTGAAATCAATGGCGACTGTGTAGAGAAGATAAAAAGGAAAAAAAGGAATACGAATAATTTTTTTTCGGGTCAACTTACCGAGCACGTCTACAAATTCAAGCCAACTTATGGATCCAAGCAAACTCGAAGGTTTCTTAACAAAATATGAAAGGATAAATCTGATTATTTAACCCTTAAACTAAGCTGTACAGTACTTAATCAAGTTGTTCTCCACATTTAAATATTCAAAAATCCCAACAGAAAGATTTGAAAGTTAATGGCCCTTACAAAATGTTTAACGTCCGATCGTGCAGCAGCATGGACATCTTTTAAAATGTCGTTTATTGGAAAATTATAAAAATATTGGAGCTAGAATGTCTCCAAGGATACACTTCATGCATTCGCATCTCGATTTTTCCTCCGAAAATATGGGTGATACAAGCGACGAATACGAAAAGCGACAACACCAAGATCGCGCAAATTTTGAAAGATAACAGGATATTAATCTGAATGCTCACGTGAAACAGTTCCCAAGCAATACAAAATAGTTGGACAAGAACTGTAGTGATCTGTATCTCAGGTTCTATAAACGCGATTAGTTTGCGCTGAAAAGCAATGCGAAGATGATATTTTGTACTAAAAATGCAATTAGAGAAGTGCTGATCACTTGACTCAGTAGGGTTTGAGCTCATGTCAAAGAAGGAAACATTTTTCTTCGTTCCAGTAATTTCGATGTAAAGGAGGCTCAACCGTGTGGACGCTCGATGTATGGCTGCCACATGAGTTGAAGAGAAAAACCCCATTTCTAGAGCGACTGGGGACTTCTGATGAAAAGTCGATTACCTATAGCAACGTCAAACTAACGGGTTTGTGACATTTATGATGAGATTGACAAAGAATAATACACTAAACACGGACCGGCCTGAAACAGTCACGAATCTACGCATACGTCATGTTCAATACATGAGATCCCACTGAGCTTGTTATTATTGTATTTAAGAGCCTCTGTGTTTGAATCTAAGTCTTGCAAAAGAATAGCCGTCAATGAGCAAGTATGGAGATGATGCCGAACGCCGGCCTTTATGCAGCCTATGAAATAAAGAACGTGCTGGATTTTGAACCAGATTACAAATGTGTCATGCTGATGTTGACATCGCTCGGCTAGTATTCGCTTCAACGATTACAAAGTGTCTATTATACTGGATACACTCCATACGTCCTAAGCTCAACCTAGTTTCCAGCGCCAAACAGCGTACACTCACAACTTTCCCCAAATTTGTGAATTTGCTTCCCTTAAGCAACTCTAACAGGCAATGTCCCGTTCGCAGACCCAATGGTAACCTGAAGTCTGACCGCTTTGCTGCCAGTAAAACCCTAACAAGTTTCGATTTATATGCTTTGTACACGAATTCCCGAATTCTGTTATTTTGACGTCACTAGAGCGTTTTCTTCCTGGATGAGCCTGGTAGGTGAATAATAAATAACGTCTTGTCCTACCAGAATTCTGTCTTTTGTCAGTTTATCGTCCTTAAGGCCTTATACCAAACAGAAATGTGCTTTCCTTTTTTCCCAGTTTTCTTTTCTTTTTGTATTGCAGATAATTAAATTCTTCCATTTCACAAAAATTTAATTGTAAAGCGTCTTTAGTGTATTTTGTCTGTTTGGTCGACAGACGGATAAATAAGTATTTAAGTGTTATTTGTTGTTATTTGGATTAACTTAAGGCATGCTCCTGGTGACAAAATATAAGCACATAATGTTAAACATACTTATCTGAGGGCAATCTTTTTTAAATTTAAAACTTTTTTATTTCTGATTTTTAATTCATATCTTATTTGCTAAAACTTACTCATCATTCTCCTCTTCCCGCTTTAAGTGTACACCTAAATTAATGTCCCCCTCACAGGTTGCACTCTTCTGCAGCGGCGCTGGACGTGGGGGTGATGTCACCTCGCCATCCGCTTCCGTGAATGTGAAACTTATATCGGTTGGCACGTCCTTGAAGGGTTTCATACTGCGCGGTAAGCTGCGATTGCGCATATTCAAATTGAGAAATTGCAAATCGCTTTCATTCAAATGCAACTCTGGTGTGCCACCATCCACCAAAGTACTACGTAAGGCTTCATAATTACTTTGTTTCTTTTTCTTTGGTGGCAATGCGGGTTTTGGTGCTACATCCGGCTCATATTGCATAGAGCCATATTGCTCTGGCGTAGAGGGCGCTGTCGGCAGATGTTGACCGAAATCGGAAATCTGTGGAGAGTTAAGCGCATCTACGGCGTACTGCTGCTCTTCCACATAGGAATTGTAGTATTTAGATATTTGCTCGGTGGTATTAGGCGCATACTGTTTGCCCCGCACCAAGTCGCCCAGATGATCGGCGTCAATGCCGAAGAGAAAGGGATCATCGAGCACAGTGACGCGGGCATTACCTTTTGTCGGCTCGGTCAGGTGGCCAGACGTATCTTGTGAGTGGGATGCATTATTGTGACGGCCCTTCGATGATTTCTCACCACCACCACCCTTACCGACGTGCACACGCAAAGAGCGGAGCAGGCGTTTGCCGCGGCTCGTTGTCGCGCTCAAGGCTGAGTTGGCTGCTATTGTATTTGTACTTGACGTTTGATATTTGGCAGGAAAAAGCGGTACTGGTGGCGGCGAGTGATGCGTTTGTTCCTCACCATCTTTGCTCTTATGCTTCTTCTTCCTTTTCATGTGTTTCCCCAACTCCTGATTATGGTTTTTATCCACACTATCGACGTTGTTGATCACATCTGCCAGTTCATTGTTGGCATCTGGGTCGTCTAATTGCGTTTCGATAAAATCGCCTGCCACCGTATCATAGTCAGCGGTCTGCATGCTGCCACTACAACCGCTGTCCTTGCCACTGTGCGTCTCATTTTCGTTGTCATTATCATTGTCGTTGTCGTTGTCGTTGTCGTTTTGGTCGTTGTTGCAGTCATCGTTGTTGCCAGTGGCAAAGCCATTGGAGGAGCCAGTGGAGAGCGCCAGACGTTGGGCAGCCGCTTTGCTGTAAACCTGACGGTAGTATTTCTGTTGGTCGCCATATAAGAAGCAGACGCGCCACCATTGTTTACACGCCAGCAAATTGGCGGTCCGTGGCACAACCGGCACCGGTTCAATTGATGATGACATGTTCTCCATGTTGCTGGTTTGTTGCTGGTGTTATTGTTTGTTGCTTACTTGCTTGCTTGTTTGCTTGGCTGGTTGGTTGGTTGGTTGCCTGGTTGGTTGGGCTATTAGGGCGCACACAGCGCGTGCAGTTGTTGTTTTCTTTTGTTGCGACTAAAGTTTTTTTGGCTACGGATTTTTTTGCTGTTGTTGTTTATTGCAAGTATTACATTAAACAGCAATTACTGTTTTTGTAAGTTTTTATGTTCGAAAATATATTTTTATTTTGCTTTTTTCAATAAGCGTTTTTGTTGCTTTTGTTGAGTTCTTTTTAATTTTATTATTTTTGGCTGTTCTTATTTATTTATTTACTTTTTTATTTGTTTATTTAGTCAAGTTTAGCAACATAATTGAAATCTTTTCTTTTTCGTTGCTCTTACTTTGTATTCTTTTGTGGGTCGTTGTTTTTGCCTTATTTCTCAGCTGTCTTGTTTCGCTTATAATTATTTTGTTATATTTATGTTGCTTTGTCCTTCTGGAGGTTTTTTTTTATTGTAATTTTAGGTATTTTATCAGCATTGTTTGTTGTTGTACCTAAATAAATTATGGTTTGTTTAAAATATGTGTGAAAGAGGGAATTTTTTTGGCTACCGGGATTTGTTGTCACATTTTTTGCTGTTACGTTCTAGAGCGCGGCGCTCTTCCATTGATTCTACACAATACTCAAAGACATAGATTTGTTTTTTGCTTGGTAACTATTTTTTAAGGATTTTTTTATTTAGGTAAGAAATAAGTTCGATTTTATACCTACAAGACTACCCGCTTACTATCTGGTTACCTACAGATCCAAAGAAAGCACCTGAGCCTAACGACTTTGCAGGTACCGAAACCGTAGATAGGAACTCAGTACTTTCTGAAAACAGTACAGACCATAACCTCTGATCACTCGTCATTAGTTATGATTATGAATGAAACGCCAGTCGAAAGTCATGGGACACTGACTGGTCTTACGAAATCTAAAACTAGCAGACTCAACAACAATCCCGATATAGAAAGCAAAACGAGGTACTATTAACAGTAAGCAACAGCGGCAGCACCATGACTAACAGCAAAACAAACGACGCTTGTTTCGAGAGTGCTCAGTTTACAAATCCCCCGATGCAAAAGTCCGAATTAATATAACAGAAAAAACGCTAAAAGTGGCTTTAAGACACTATGAAGAAAAAAAAATTGTACGCTGGATACACAAAGAAGCTCGTTGAGTTAACGAGTATAAACCTCATGAATCAGATTCCCATCTACGAACCGTGGAAATGGCTCCACGGCTTCGAAGAAAACGGTAGTGGTTGAATGGCAGTGAGCTGAAACAAACGGTCACCCAGGCAGGATTGAAGTGCATTAAGGTTTTTTTGTGCGTTTGTTGGGTTTAGCAAGGGCTCATAAACTATTAGCTGCTTCCCTACGACCGAACTCTTAATTCGGACCTTTACGGTCAGTTATTATAACGTCTGCAGGAGGAGAATATTATTTCAGCAGGACAACACCAGACAACACACATTGATAGTAACTCGCCTGAAGCTCCGAGGGCTTGGTTGGGAGGTTCTTATGCACCATATAGAAGGACTTCGTGCTAAGTGATTACCATTTGGTTTTGTCTATGGCGAATAATTTGCATTAGGATTCCCGTTGAAGGACAGAACAAGAGTTTGGGAGCAGAAGCCTCGTATATTCATACATTCTTTGCACCATTCTTCACTTTGCTCAAAGCAAAGATCAGCAATAATTGCTATTATTCTCAAATAAAAAAAATGTTGCTAATGCAAACTCATGACTTACATACATATGTAACAACAAATATTTAGTTAAACCAACATACAAATTCAACAAAATTAGTTAGGGCAACAAAAAAAAAACACCTAACCATAGCATACGTAAGAGCGTGTGGCAAGAACTGCACGAAGCGATCGCAGCATAGACTGCATTTGATTGCTGAGGTAAGCCATTGTTGCTTCCGTATTAACAATGTTGCAGCTGAACTACTATGTTTAGCTGTTGCAAGCATTTACTCAGTACGTCAGTCAAATAGTCAGGCCATCAGTCAGCTCTTCAGGCAGTCACTAGCCAGACAGCGAGCTAGCTAACTTGGTTCATTGGTATTATTAGGTTGCCCTCTTTCTTGTTTGCTTGGTATAAATTGCAACCGCAAAAAAAGGTTGCTACATAATTCTTGCCAACTATCGAGAACTATAGTCGGTGTTACTATCAAATCGCTTTTTACTACCCATTAAAAAATTTTTTTGCTCAAATCATACACATCATATCATATATGATTTATTATATTTACATTTATATTTATATTTATATTTATATTTATATTTATATTTATATTTATATTTATATTTATATTTATATTTATATTTATATTTATATTTATATTTATAATATATTTATTTTTATATCTATATCTATATTTATACTTGTATTATTGCCAATAAAATTTTTGTTGATTATTTTTAACCTTAAACTAAATTTAAAACTAAATGCTCATTGGTATTAAAAATTTTTGTTATTGGTTTTCTTTTTTTATTTTCACTCTTCTACTCTATTTGCCTTCACTTTTCGCACTCAGCCAACTACACTTACCACTTTTCACGCAAGCGTCACGCAATGAATCGAGTGTTCGCACTGCGCATGAGCAACTCTGGGCATGCGCAACTCAGGGCATGTGAGAGTAGATAGATAAATACATGTAGAAAAGCAGCGAGCAGTTGCGGTATAGTATTAGAGGAGCTCTTAGTAACTTCGATTACAGATCACATACTATTTTTTTATTATTTTTTTTTTTTTTTTTCAATTTATACCAGCAGTTTTTTTTATTAGCATAGCACGCAAGTACTACTATCTGATTCATCTTAGCTACTTTGACTTGCCACTTCGCTCATTACAATGCCATTGATTGGCGTACATAACATCAGCGAGTAGTGTAGTAAGCGTACATGCCATCAGGTGTGCGCCTGGTGTTTTGATTACCCACAGGCGATCATCAACCATTGGCCAATATCGCCTATCGTCTTTATAGATTGATCGCACAATGATGTGCACCATCATAGTCCGTGCTGATCCCTGCCCAACTGACTGCCACCAGTCAGAGACCTCTTACGCACATCAAATGCTTACTTTGTTTATTTTTCGTTTTATATTTATTCTTATCTTACGAAGAATTTTCAATTTGATTGTGAAAAAGATTCTTGGAAAAAGTTTTGCATGAAAACCAACTCAAATCGTTGAGGTAAGGCAATTGTTGATTATTACCACGCCATTTGCCGACCAAACAACGCCTAACATTCCGACCACCAATTAAAAGATATTGACTATTAGCTTTTTGCCATTAACAGCACATTTACCGCTGCTGCTGATGATTAAAATTTAATCTCAAAAATTGCTTCTAGCGAGAGTGCTGCTTTGGCAAAAAATAAAAAAGTTATAAGTGCAGCGGAGTGGAACTGATGAGAAGATATAAAAGGTGATCATAATTTCTTCTCCAATCATTAATGGGATGCAAATTGCTTTTAATTCAATGCCACGCACAAATATCTCCCATTTATCCATGTAGATATAAAAGATAATAATAAATATGGATATTTCTTGAATGGCATTAACCAAGGTCAAGCCAAATAGAAGGAATAATTTCATACGCGAATTTTTTACTCTTAGATCAACTAATACTTCTGAGATAAACTTTTTATATAAATTTATTTGTAATAAATATAAAATCTTAAGACAAATATAAAGTAAAATATTTATGAGTTTTCTTTTTAAGATTATTTGGCGAATTACAAAGAAAAAAAGGAAGTTCTATATTGCAGAATGGATTTCTTTGTTGAAAATTACGGTCGGACTAAATCAATAATTGGTCAAATCTTTGTATTATTCAAGATTTTCGTAACTCAAACAAAACTTAAACCAAAACGAAATTCGCATTAACAAGACCATTTGGATGGCAACTTTATGGATGCAACTTAAGTCCATTACATAGTCTTTTGAATGCACGGGATGTCGTTCAGATCGATTATCTTGAAGGTGACTATTTTTTAAAGTTTCTAAACAGATATTGATTTCAAACAGAAACAGAAAAATGCTAAGAAAATTGTGCCGAGATAGTGATCTGTAGTGGTGGTGAGATATTGATCTGTAGTGGTGGTGAGATAGTGATCTGGTATGTAGGTCAACTTGAATTCCAAAAAGGGAGTTGGCAGAGTTACACTTCGTGGGTCACTTGTGTAAGCCACCATATGGAGCTGTTGTCGCTAGAACGGTTTCCCTGGTGGCGTACGCTATTTAACTCCATCCCTTTGTGGCGCCACAAAACTGGGTAAGATTTGATGCAAGAAACACTATTTTATGCTAAAGAATTGTGAAAATAAAAACAGTTGGAAATAAAATTTTCTTTTCTAGTACCGCTGGCGGAATCTTTGTTTGGCTTTACGACCGTAGGAGTACCGAAGTCCTGACACACTCGTAACTGATAGTTTTTTTCTGTTAGTTTTAAATGCTTATTGCTGTGTCGACTGTATATTTCTTTAGGACTAGTACTCATTATGATTAATCTTAGGTGGCGCTGTGGGATTTCGCTCTCTATAGATCAACGTTGGTCAATCTTTGTTGGTTTGGTCCATAATTTTTGCTTTTATAATTGGCCGGCCCATGTAGTCTTCCCTCAGCTGCTCACTTGCTTAGAACAGTATTTTTTTTTGAATCCCTTTCGCGCGGTTTGTTTATTCGTTTAGAATAACTTGATAAATGTTCTAAGAAATGGATTGACAAAACGGCCCCATCGTTATTCGGAAGGCTAAGAAGTCCTGGTCCAACCAAAATTATTATAAATATAACATTAAATTAACGTTTTTAATTACGAGCGCCAATGTCGGCAGAGAATACCAATCGTAGCGAGTGAATTTCTGACACGAAAATAAAAGCTCCAAAAAAAATCCATTGGAAATTCGGAGGCGGCTTGCAATAAATTGTAAGTCAGATTAGCTCAACTAATGAAACGGTGATATTTCAGTTTGTTAATATGAAAAATAAACTTAACGAAATTATTTTGATTCGCTCCATCCTCATGCTATCGAAACGAAATGAAATGTAGAAACTGCTTTAACTCATCGTTAGCGTAAACTATAATATGGCTGCTTGCTATGTTATTAACAGCAGACTTCAATTTTAACGTTCAACATTATCTGTAAACGATTTAACATTAACGACTGCATTTCGTTTCGGATAAAAACGAAATAAAATGT